AAACGAGACCGCGCGCGCCGCGCTCCCAAGTTGGCTATCGCGCGCAACAATCTTCCCTTCCGTTATATTCAAAAGACTTAGATTCTCCTCATTCCCTGGGTATCAATATGTTCGCGAGAATTCGCGCTCCGTGTATCGGCTCCCCCCGTGCAGCGCCCGCTCCACATGTGCGGTAAACAAATTTTCTCGCATATTCTTTTTTGTAAAACGTTCAAAAGACCAAGGAGAAAAACAAATTTTCTCCGTGTCTTTTAGAATTATTTTTTGATCATTTGTTTTTCACATAGCAGAGAGTTCCGAGAATGTTCGGAAAAACAATTAAGAACAAGTTTAACAACAAGAAAAAATTAAATTTGTTCTCAATAAATTTTACATACTCTAATATACATATATATATATTTATATATAACACGTAAACGGCGGAAATTATGCGCGCGCGTTGCGTATCGAAAGTTTTGTCGCGCGTCGTTGAATTTATTACTCCATTTTGAACGTGTACACATCCATAATTTCAAACTTGTTATTAATATTTTTTTTTCGTAAAAATTGAAATTTTTTTGAGCTCACATATTTTGTTGTTTATCTAGATGCGAAAAAACTAGCTTCGCGTTACAGAGATACAGAAAAAAGTTTTAGCTTTGTATGCACGGCGTGTGCACAACATACGCTTCTCGTTCGCGCGCGAGCGCGAGCGACGCGCCGGGAGAGCTGCAATTTAACTTTCCGCTCAATTGGGCAAAATGTCGCGGATAATTTACGTGCGCGGCCGTCGATAGCGCGGCCGTCTCCTCTCGCTTTCGTGCTCGGCGATGAGAAACCCTCTGATTTACACCCTCCTCCTTCCCTCTCTTCCTCCTTCCTTCTATCCCGGACTCACGCTGACGGCGCGTTTCCGCCGTTGCGAGAAACTTACCTTATGCTCTGCATCCACCGGTGTATAAGGCGACGCGTTATGGTCCGAGGCGCACCGAATCGGAAGCCTGCGTCAGCTTCGCCTCTGCCGGGGGGGTTAGTTTCCGGTTCCGCTCGCCGGCGCGCGAGATATTACGTCGGCGGAACGGCGAAAATATCGAATGCCTCTCTCCAATCCTTCTTCTCTTGACCAAAACCGCCTCGACCGATCGCCCTGATAGGGCCCCCGATTTCAATTCAGCAGCATTTGTGCGTGAGGCCGTTTCTGCAGCTACGACAAACTACTTAAACTACGTTTTTGCGCGCGCGATATATACATATAGATACACATTTCAAAACACAGATACAGAAAATCGCGCAGATTCTCGGAACTCAGTCGGTTTAAACAAAAATCTTTTATTTTTATTACGGAAAGATTTTCTTTTTACACAAGCGCATACGAACGTTCCGTTAGTTATTTTCTCAGGGTTGAAAATGTTGCTGCGCGAATTTACCGATCTGGAAAAAACTAAAATCTATAAATAAAGCGACTGGGAAACAGAAATAAGATCGCGGATGGAAGAAAATATATAGAACGATGAAACACGGGGTGAAAAAGTTCTTGACATCAGAGGTGTACAATTTAAGAATTTCTTTGAAAATCTCACTTTTATCCCTTCGATAAACGCGGACTCCTGAAATAAATGCACTACCACGAAGATTAGAGTCGGAAGAAAAGTTGCTCGCGAAACTATCGATCTGGACACGCTCGAGATATCGGGGGGGGGGGGGGAAAGGAGGAGAATGTATGTCGATAAAATTTAACGTTAGTCAGTTTTTTCTTGAAAAAATTCAATTAGCATAACAAATCGAGACGCGCGCCACGAGCAGTTGCGCGAAATTCTCCTCCCCCCTCCCCCGCCCCACACACACACACACAAAACGTGCGTGTTCTCCCTTGTTACGATGAATTATTTGCAACAGTGTAAACAATTTGCATATGTAAACACCGAGAACATACACATCGCGTATTGTGAAGAAACCAGTTTGCGTGATATTTGGACACGAAATAATTACAGAGCGCGTTGTTATGCATCACGGTGAAAGAGAGAAAGAGGTGGCCAGCGACGCGTAATCACAAATTGAATACTAATCCGAAATTCACAAAAAGCGTCTTCGGAGCGTGAAATATTTTTTTGTTTGTCGTTGTCGCTAGAAAATATAGAACAGAAAGCGCAAAACAAAAACAAAAAAAACCGTAAATTGCGATTCTTCGGTCTCGATGGACAGGAAGGCAAAAACGACGTAATGAGAGTGAGCTGAATTTAATTTCGCTCATCTCGATCTTCTTCCAATTTGTGAACAGAAATTTCAAGAATATATATATCTATAATCCAACGGGCGGGCGCGCCTTTTAATTTTAACGCGAGAATTTCACGAAATTCCCCCGCGTAATTAGGACCGAACACAATCGTGGAGTACTTTACAGTCTAATTACTGGCGATCAATCAACTAATGATAGCGCTCCGCGTATAGTTAATGTGTTCATAAATCAAACCCTCTCGCGCTGGGCGCGCGCGCTTTAGAGAAGCTGTGGCAAATTACATTCACTGAATCACTATTGTATGTCAAGACCGTATTGCATTGTTCGAGCTCACGCACAAATTGTGCGGTCAGGATGGGTGCAACGTTGGGTACGGCGGGGCTGACAAATTCACTAAAAAAAAAAAAAAAAAAAACAGAAAAAAAAACAGAAAAAACATCGAAAAATGTGATCAAGTCTGTTTTAAATACGCGGCCGGAGTGTGCGGTCAGATTCGGTTGAGCAGATCAGGTTGGATCGCGTTAGGTCACACACTGACAAAGTGGATTCGAGTCGAGCTGAAAAGTATCAGAGTGCAGTGTCGGATTAAAAAAAAACAAAAAAAAGATCCCTAAAAATTCATCGCGAAACGTGATAAGATTTCTGTAAATTTTTTTATTATCTGACGTGGCAAAAAAACTGAGAACGCGTTTTAACTCCGAATTTAATAAATATTATTTACGTGTGAAATTGCGCGTTCCTTTCTTTAAACGATTAAATTATTCCCCACGCGAATAAGCGATCCGTAAAAATAAAAGCGGTCTGAGACTTTCTTACCGTGCACTCGTGGCGTTCTTCGCAAGGTCCGGTCATTCTTAGCGAGAAACCAGAGTACTACAAAAAGGATTAAATTCAGCGAGCGAGTCTTCCGCTTCGACTGACTGATTTCAATCGCACTCTCTCTCTCTCTCTTTCTCGTAAAAATGTTCGAAAGACGGACGAAAGGAAATTGTTCGCTCACGACAATGCAATCGTTGATCTTTGACGTGAGCGCGTGGTAGCATTATCGGTAACGGAACGGGAGGGGGAGCACTGTCGTTTTGTCCTGCCAACTTTCCTTGCGGGATCAGTTCAAAGGAATACGCGTTAGACGGGCCTTTCGGCTTTGCCCGTCAGCCTCGACGGACGACGAATCGGCCCAATTCCGCGACGAACGGGTGTTATTCCACTTGGCAGACCTGGGTTACGACGAAATCGGTTCTCGCTCTTTGACACAACCGGAAACGAACGGCCGTATCGTTCTCCGAGATCGATTTCAATTGATAAGAAAATTAAAAAAAGAATCCGTCGTGTAATACTGCGTCTGCGATATCTTTTTTTTTTTTTTGTTGTATATCGAGTATATATGAAAAGAATTCTTTATTTCTTCAATCCCGCGTCGTCCGCATCGGAATTGATAAGTGCAATCTATGTCCGCTGTGACATTTTTTTTTTTATTAAGTTTTTATTAAGTCTTTGACAGTTTTTTTTAATTAAGAGTTTTACATTTTTTGCCAATGTTGCTGAATGGAAGACGCGATATTATCTGAGTGAATGGAATTTAATATTTTGAAATTTATACGCGAGAAATCAAGCAAAAGCAATGAGGCACGAAAATGATTTTGTTGGAAATTTCTGCTCGATATGGGATTACTGGCAAAAGTATCATTGATTGGCTGCGTCCCAATCAATATATATATATACATACATATATATATATACATATATCCACAGACGTGTAAGAAGAAATCCTAGTATAGTTACTCTATTCGAAAGAGCTTAAAGTTTGTACTGGTGCTAGTTTGTCGTGTCTCAGACATAGTTTGAAAAACATTCCTAAGCTCTTGGAAGCAAAAAGACCATGCGCTCGGTTTACCACTAACTCGAATTCACCGACTGTGCATTCTCCTAAGCTGTGAGGCGGAGGGATGGGGAGAGGGGAGGGAGGAGAGAGGATGATCCGCTCTTCCCTTCCCTTTAAAGCTCATCGATTTATTCGCCACATAATTCTACTTAATCCTTCGATTCTCTCTGATAACGAATAAATATTTCTGCGCGATTAAAGGCGTCGCGCAACTGCGCAACGTGTCGCTTATCTTCCTCATTCACAAAAACGCGGTAAAACGTTGGTCAAAATTTAACGTCGCATTAAAAAATTTATCAACAAAAAGATTAAGAGCTCTTTTTTCACATTACACGCGCGTTAGCGCGAATTGTCTGGCGTAACACGCGCGTTTGTTGTTATAATAATTTTTTTGTTAATGCAATATTACAGCCGTGCAAATTATTTTAGCGATTATGCGAAATGAAGAGAATTAAAATTGCAGCTGTGCCGATGGTTAAGTAAATAACGAAATCACAGAGTGTAATATTTACAGGACGTTTATTCTGTAAATGGACAAAAAGTAATACAGTTTGAACATTTTATTTGAATTGTTACATATATATATATATATACTATATTATACTTTTTTAACTTCTTACGTACTGACAATCTAACATCATTGATCACGCTCGCCATTTGTCACATACATATATTGTTGCTCGACTCATGTTATTTGAGTACAATTTACGATTCACAATTTATCTTAACTCTTTACCGTATTTTTTTATATATATACGCTCGCAATTTCAATTTCAATAAAGATAACACAAAATTTTCATCGGAATTATGCGCTATATCAAGCTATATTTTTATCGAATCGTATACGCTATATGTTAAACTTGTCTCATTTTTTCAGAACGCTTTGAATATATAATATTTTTTTTGAATTTTTTAATATTTATTTATTTGGAAATATTTTGCAACATTTCAAGAATTACTATTTTTAAGGATCGTCTTCTTCAGTCGATCAGTTAAACTTTTCGAAAATTTCTCGTTTCTTTTTTCACTTGTATATATTGTTTTATTACGATTTTATATAACATTTGAAATATTTAAGAATCTTCAAAATATATATATTTAATTCTCTACAATAAATTGCGCGCGGTAAAGAGTTAAATTTAACATTTTCGACCTGATTTTATCCGAGCCGCGTTGTACCGCGTAGATATACGTAGTTTTACATCTAAGATAAAAATAGCCGTGTTATTGATTATACTAATTAAAGAAAATTTCAAAATGTGTTTTGTTACATCATGACAAGAAACATCGACGCATCATCTTCTCTTAGTTTAATTTTTACATATTATTCTTCTTACTGTAGATGAATAAACTTAATAGTACGTATTTTTTTTTTATTAATTATCAGTTTTTCGATATGTGTAATTCGCCGGATTTATATATTTACAAGTTTTGTCTGATATTGTTGAGAATTGCAAGTCCGAGCGGATGTGTGTGAGAGAAATATGCGCATCAATATAAAATAGATAAAAAAAATTATACCAAACAGAATGAGACGTATCTGCTAAACAAATTTTCCGATTTGCTTATTTAAAGAATAATTTGCAATTTCGAGTACAAACTCTTGGGATAATTCGATAAAAGTGGAACGTCAATATTTAATGTAAGAATTAAAGACAAATCACTAAATATGCATGGTTATATTAAAAATAAAACACTAAATGTGTATGAAAATCACCAGGAGACGAACTTGACGAGTCACATTTTCGTAATTTTAAAAAAGAGCGATTTTGAAAGTAAAACGCATTTCTCCGTTACACATTTTACACAAATGCTTGTATCTCGGAATCTATCAAGAATTTCCCCTCTCGTTTTGAATAATTAAAAAATACTCGATATTAACTACCAAATAACACGAAAAACAGAAAATCGAAAAAAAATGGACTTATCAAGTTCTTCTGTAATCTTCATACGGTTCCATTAAATGTGTATATATATGGTGTCCTATTTTGGTAACTGTATATAAGCTTCTGAAATACGTATAATTGTAATTTCGCCTCGCATAAATTTATTAAGCAAAAAAAAAAAAGAAACAAAAACAATAAAAATAACGAAAGAATATACACGATATAAAATTATTATCTCGTGACAAAATTAATATAATTATTCTTTTTCCTTTGAATACGTACAAAGCGGATGTAAAATAAAATCGATTGACATTTGTTTGTGTTTTTCGAAATCACTTAACCTGTGCGTATTCAAAAGTTCAAGTAAAACGTTAGTTCTGAATCAGCCGTTTATGATATAATTCAAAGTTTGCAAAAATGGAAGATGGAGAGAAGCTACTGAAAAGTTGCTTGACGGGGGATCGAGAGTGTCAAAAAGTTCGCAAACCCAAAAAGTCCTTGATTCTGTCGTGATATCACGTGTCGGTTGCGTGTGCGTGAGAGAATCCTAGGGTTTCAGATTCCCTGAAGAAAATTCGAGGGTCAAACGGACTGTGTGAGGATCGTGTTCTAATGTATCTCTGCAATTTCGAAGGAATCGTTACGCGTAGTTCAGAATAATCGTTTAGAATCGCGTTGCGTAGGATTTCAATCGATCCGTTACGATCAACTTCCTTTGAAATCCGCGGTGTCTAGGCCTCTAGAGAAATCGAAGAAGAGCACACACAAATTCCACAATCACTTCGTCTGTGCCCATATTCCCATATGTTATTCCGTTCCACTCCCCCGTCCCTTCGTCCCTACGCCTCTCTCCCAACGAGGTCCTTTTCGAAATATCGCGACAAGCGTTTTTTTTTTTCCGGCTCGTCACCAAACAAATGGAGGTCATCAACGAAACAGCGCGATCCTCGTGCAAACGATCTGCAGCCACTTAGCTGCCATCATACCATTTACGTCAGGTCTGAGGTTGGTTTTAGCAGGACGATTAAATTATTCATGCACCCCGAAACGATGTGTTAAGAAGATCTCCCTCCTACCCGTGATGATAGTAGATCTTATCCTCGCAGTTGCACGTCGCACCGCAGAATTTTCGGCGTTCGCGACCCTCCTGAGTGTCCGTCTCGCAGACCCACGAGCCGAACGTTCTGACCAGTTCGGCGCAGTTCGACCACAGATCAACGTGGTAGCAGGCGTTCGTGCAAAGCTTGCTTCGCGAACAGTGATCCTTGCACATGCTGCACGGTTTGCCGGTTACGTACGGCAGACCCAGACGGCTCGCATAGTTTCCACTGTGAAGCAGAGAAGTGTCACCGATTACAAGAGAACAAGTATCGGAGCGAGAGAAATCGCCCGAGGAACGTCGAGAAACAAAATACGTAAACAAAAATATGCAAATATAATATGTGTACATAATTTTTATATATATTATATATGACCATCTTCTCTCTCTCTCTCTCTCTCTCTCTCTCTCTCTCTCTCTCTCTCTCTCTCTCTCGGCGGCGAAAAAAATGTTAACTTAATTAAACGTCGTCTCATTTATTTTATTCAGCAAATTTTTTAAATATTGAAACATAAATTCTATTACAGTGCGGAGTACACCGGTTCTTCTCTTGTGAAAAATGTAAAGACTGGAACGTGAATTTCTGTCGCGTGACAGAGAGAGATTTAAATTTAATGTCAGCGATATTAGTTTGTCATTCACTTTGACATTCACAGCGTGGAAAAATCTTATTTCCCTCTTTTCTTTTATGAGTAAAGCAGCTACCTCGTGTCGAGAGAAATATATATATATATATATATATATGTATATATATATAAAATTTTCTCTCGTGGTTTCTGTGGCCATTCTCAAATTATACGATGAGCATCTTTTTCTTTCTGCGATTCAAAATATCCAGTTTTATTCAATTTGCATACCACACACACAATGCATTTGTGCTATTATCATAACACATTGTTCGAATTACGAGACGGTATGTATATGTTGAGAGCGTCAACGTGTACTTATACTTAGAGAGACATAGCCCCCTCGCGTTTCTATTAAATAAACCCGGGACCCGTCAAATTCGAGAAGACCGGAGCCGTTCCGACACTCAAGAGGTGAGATTTTAACACGTTTGCTTAGTACGTGTGAATTAAAGCGAACATTAGTTGAGGAAATTCGGTCTCGAGATAAATTCGTTTCGGTAACAAATTTATCAAGCTTAAATCTCTTCTCTTTAAGTAACATTTACTCAATTGCAAACACGCGAGATCTCGCCATCGCCAACGTGAAACTCTTCGCGAACAACGCGTTCTTGAAAAAAATTGTCCCTCCGAGAGAAAGATCTATTCCTTTGGGCTCTCGTTGTAACTGCGTCTCTTAAAATAATCCCTGCCACTTATTCCAGGATACTTCCGTATAATGGAGTAAAAATACTTTCGGCCGTTTTATCCATTAGCTATGCGCATTAACAAAAAGCTCCTGGAAGGACTATCGAGCAATTTGCAAATGGGCCACCGAATTTACATTCAAAGTATTTTTCGGGAAACGAGTCGCGCGCGCGCGTCTTAAACGATCGCGCGACTCGTCTCCAAAGGCAAGTCCGCAGCATGCTGTATATATACATATATATATATATCCACGAAATTAATTACGAGATACAGACGGTGGCAGAGAACCGGCGGCAAGATAAAAGGAGGAATAAGATGGCCCACCTTACACGTGACACGGTTTATTTATTCAGGACCCGGGCTACTGATGGCGGCGGCGGCGGCGGCGGCTATACGACCGCGCCACCATCCAGCGCTTCGCTTTTCGCGAGAAATAGGTCAGGCGTCAAATACACTACTGAAGAATGTGCGATGCTTAGCAAGGAGGTGCAGATCGACGTATGAAATAGCATACGAAATGATTCTAAGAGACTCTTTCGCGAAATCCCGCGTCTTATTCGAGGTGCTGCGCAATTTCACAAAATTATGAACGATCTTAAAAAATCTCTGTTTATATTATTCTTGAATTTTTGGTGAATTTTTTTTCACGCGTAAACGTTTTGAGAGAACACGCGGTCTCAAATATAATTCGCAACTTGAGATCAAACATCGATTAAAAATGAATTTTACGAGAGCGAGGCACGCGCAAAACGATTTTTATTCGTTTCGAAAATAGAAGCCTGATGAATCCGGAGGTAAATTTCCGCGTTTGCACCGGAAAAGCTAATACGACGACTGTATATATGCATCCGTGCGTTAGTATCTCGTCTTGTAACATGAATATATGAAGCTGCGGTGAACTCATCGCCGATCGCATTAGTGCGGATCTCGCGGAAAATTTATCGGGTCTGCGTATTGCGGAGGATCGATATGAGCGATATATAGCGTCGCGATTTGTAGGAATCCTTAGTTCAGAACTGGGTCGCTGGCATTTTTGTACGGACTGCAGCAGCGATAAATTGCGAGCCGAAGGCCGAAGCGTATTCTAATTGCGCGGGTCGTTCGCGCGTGAAATGTCGCCGACGGAGAAAATCATTTATTTATTGTCACTCACTCGTCGTACGAGCTCGGCCCGTGAATGCAAGAGTAGCAACGAGATTGAATATAATCCTTCGCTGTGGATTTTTTTCATAAAATCGACATATTAGCAAGCGTATGAAATATTTGTACGCGCGACAAACGAGATTCGTTTATATTAAACGAGCCGAGGAACATATTTCCTTCTCTTTTGTTTCTAAAAAAATTAAATATAAGTTTTTTATTTGCGCAAATTATTGGCAAATGTCAAATTGACGCTTCTTTAAAAACAAACTTGAATATTATTCTCTCTCGCTAAATAATATAAATATCTTTTTCATATTATATAAGTCTGTGTCACTTCTATCTTTATATTCTAAAGTCTCTTGATTAATTTATATATTTTATATATTTCCATCCTTTCTTTCTTACTTCTAAAAAAACAATCAAGTAATCATTCTTTTATAGAAAATCTCTGCGGAAAATTCTTATTCGCGCGTATTTTTTTAAATCTTGATTAATTTATATCTTATATAATTTCATCCTTTCTCTCTCGCTTCTAAAAAAAAAAAAAAAACCAAGTAATCATTCTTTTATAGAAAATCTCTATGCGAAAAATTCTTATTCGCGTACGTATCGTACATAAGTTTCGCATTGAACATCTTGTATGCGCACTTTGTATCCGCGGTAGTCGGAACGAAAACCATAAATGCGCTGAGAAAGCGCGCCATATCTGGTGACAAAGAGAGTCGTCTAAGTGCCACAATAGGCATGACAAAGACGAACGAGCTATAACTCGCGCTGACGCTGCATATATACCGCACTACTGGTGTCACCAGTTTTCCTTGTTTTCCTTGCTTACCGCGTTCCACCTATTTTCCCCAAGCGGGTTACGTACATTCTCCTTGTCTCTCTCTCTCTCTTTCTCTTTCTCTCTCTCTTTCTCTCTCTCTCTCCCTCTCTTTCTTACGTATATTATATAAATATAGGATTTACATATATTTCAGCGTGTCTAGGGAAAAGCTTACACGCCAGTCTCGCGCGAGCTTACGAACGCATATTGGTTACTTTTAGTTTTGTGCAAAAGGGCTCGCGACAGTAATCAAGTCCGTGGGAAAAAAGTTTATTACCGAATACGCTTAAAATAGTGTGTGTTTGCCCGCGTGACGATAAATTATATAAAAATTGCAATATTCGAGATGCGAATGAACCTTAAGTAAAGGAGACCGAAACAAATTGGCGTAAGAGGCAAGAGAGGTTGACGATGTGATTTGTTTTCAAATTTATTGCAACACAACGAAGAAGAAAGAAACGCGAAACACAATGGTTTTATGTTACAAACGCTTTAATATAAAGACGAAACACACTGCCAAAAAACACCTGCTCTCCTGGTCTCCTCTAATTTAGCGCGTCCTAGATGTGTAATAATTACATCAATTTTCTTGTTATTAATATCAAGTTTTAATAATAAATAATTTTCTTGAACAATCTTTTGAAAGACAAAAACATTTTCGAGACGTTTCGGCACAAAATAACTATTTTGGACGTTAACTATAATACACATTGCTGTGAACGAAGTTCTTGTTTAAATGTGACCACCGTTGCTAAGTAGTGCTGTACAAAGAATGGATTGTTGGCGCACTTTAATCAAGCATTTTCCCTTGGTTTCCGTTCTCTCTCTCTCTCTCTCTCTCACGCTCTTCTTCTTTCTCTCTTATTTATTCTACTTTCGTTAATGCTTCAACAATCAGCTTTGACCTCTCTTTCGACGCGCGAATGTTTCGACGTAGCTAAGGCCGCTTTGACGATGTCTCGCGCGCTACTTTCGCCCAAGTTTACGGTTAACCGTTCCAATCCGCGTTTCCCTCCAGCAAATTATTGCGTCAATTCCATGCTAATGAACTAAGTTCTACTTGTGGCCCAATTGCAATTGCCGTTACACAGAGAAACAGCTGTGTATCATAAGTCAACGGTATACACGGCACGCTTTCCGGCGAAAATGATCACATTGTTACCTTATGCACCGCCAATATAATTAATACAATCATGTTTGAAAACACGATTGAGATCAGAAATGATTGAAATCTATGTCGGGTCTGCTGCGAACGCGAATTACGAAAAACATATTATTTTAACACGTATAAATTACGCGTATCTGTTAATAATACAACAATTATTTAAGCAAGACAAATTATTATTGTATAAATAATAATTTTATATTATATAATACAAATTACGTGTATCTATTAATATATCAACGATTATATAAGCAAGACAAATTATTAATGTGTAAATAATATAATTGTGTATTATATAAAAGTAGTTATGTAGTTTATATATTTGAGCAATATATTTAATATACTAATATTAAAGAGATATTTATACTGCACACACAGTAAAACATCATGCGTATATATTAAACTTTTCTTGTATTTACCTCTCGTTTTAATTATTACTTCAATGTAAAATTAACATACTAACCGATATGTTATTATTTTTGTAACGATTTTGTGTGTTAAATTTATGTCAACTTCAAACAATCTAACATTTTGCGTCATTTAGAAATGAAATATTATTTTGAGTGCTTTTATACGATTATTAATAAAATTATTTTAATTAATCTACATGTCTCAGAGTCAATTAAACATTCTGGGAAATGTTAAAGTAAATCTTAAGACAGTCACTTTTTTGACATACAACTAATCAAATTTGAAATAATCAAATTTATTTAAAGTCAAAGTTAAAATAATAATTACTAATTTAACACAAAAAGTAAATGTTTTTCAAAGTACGTTTTTTACGAGATTATTGTAACTACTCTTTTCCATGTGGTTTTTAAATTATTGTATTTTATTCTTACATCACACTTAAAATCAAAATAACAAATATAAATGTAAATTATTGCAATTATATAACAAATGTATTGTGTCAATTACTTAACATTACTAATTTGTCAATAAAGTAACACGTGACGAACGCGAGTTAATTCAACTTAAATTTAGGATAAATCTTCTTTAGGATAATATAGAAAAAATAAGTCTCAGGATGTTCGCTAACATTAAAGTTAACATTTTCCTTGTTTACCGTGCACGCGTAGAAGACCAATTGATCGCGAATGCATCCTCTCTTTTCAGGAGAAGAATGCGACGCTTGATCTACTTGCACGATGATACATGCAGAATGTGAGATAGTAACACGCGCGCGTATGAATTCGAATTGGGACATACCTCGGAGCATAGTTGCAAACGTACATGTAGAAGTCCTCGCCGAGCGGGCCCTTGCCGCCGGTGCAATGGCTCACTCCGCATCCGACTAGATGCGTTGTGGCCCACACCACCTGCGTGTAATGGCCGATCTTGCGGATCTCATTCGTCGTATTGGTCCCGTACTTGAAGTCCCTATACTCCATGTACCACATTCTGATGGGGAAGTTCCTGCAACATTCCGATGAAGCATGGCTCGCTGAACCGATTTCACGTGACGGACTATATCCTCTCTGCGTGCGATGTTAAAGCGACTCTCTCTCTCTCTCTCGCGTCGCTGATGTTTGTAAAGCTCTTGTCTCCGTGACGGAAACTCCGCGCTATATATACCGTATGTACGTATATACATACCACGGACCGTCTTCCACCCGCGAGTAAATCTAATTTTAAACTTCGCTGACACAAAACCGATTTTCTAATTAGAAGGCGTCTTTCGTTAGCGCGATAGAATCTTTCGCGACACGACGCGCGAACTACAGTCGTCCTTGAGAGAAACGAAGAGATTGTCATCTCTTGATAGTCCAATTTTCAATATCGCGTAATTTCGTCCTCCCCGGAAGCGAGATTTACTTCTTCTCGTGCGTTTCCGCGATCGGATATTATCTACGTACATATATATATATATATACGCGCACAGTCATTTCGGATAATATCTTTTCGCAAAGTTCCATTAACTTACACGTATGTAAATATAAGCGGTTTCGCAATTAACGGTACAATTTGTGATAGATAAACTGCCGCGTATTTTCGCGGAATAAAGCGCGCGTTTCGGAGTACACCTGTGCAAATATACCGACTGTGCAACGCGACTCGCTAACTAGAAGTAAACAAAATTTAATATCTCACCAGAGAGTGCGACTTGTGCTTATGAAAATGTTTTGTCCACTTTGGCCGAAGCCGTCCAAATACAGACCGGTTGCGTTGTCGTGCACCAAACCGAGACAGCGATCGGCCCATCTCTGCGCTGCCTTCGCCAGACCCGAGTGCCATTTCTGAAACGACAGAAAATAAGTGTTTGAAAAATTATTAATCACACTCCGAAACGAAAATACGCGACGGACCGCGCGCGCGCGTCTGTGATGTCTCTCCGCCAGCAACTATCGTCACTGTTGCCCGAGTATTTCAATATTCGGAGAAGCTCTCGCGTTGTTGTGTATATATATGTGTGTGTGTGTGTGTGTGTGTGTGTTACACTTTGAAGAAGCTCGGAACTTAATTAAATTCTTGTAAGACAGGTTGCAGTCATGAGAGCGGCACACAAAGTTTTTCTTGCATACGTAAATACTCGTGGCAAAAGTTTCTTAACTCGCCTGCGGATCCTTAATTGCTCGTTATATGCAAATACAGCAGATTTTAAAACCATAATATTCATTTCGCACAGAAGCAAATATTATACGTTCTCGAGTTTTTTTTTTTTCGCGAGAAGACGCAGCGCTTTTCCACATAATTTCTCTCCCTTTTTTTTTTTTTTTTTTTTTTTTATACTTTACGAGCTCGATATCGAGGATACGTAGCGAGACTATGTATATGTTGTACGCGCCGCGTTAATTCACCGTAATGAAACAACACAGACGCAACGGCGCGGCTGGATTACTCGATATGAAAAACGATCGAAAGTTAGCCGCAGCAATATCCGGATATCGCGCGCGCCTACATTACGCTTAAGGAACTTGGAATCTATTGGAACGGAAATCTTTTATACGACGCTCTTCCACTTATGCTCTTCAAGGCGACTCTTTATTTTTCATCTTTTATAAAGAAACGTCTGAATTATAAAATTTAATTCTATAAAAACGTGATGTATTTTTAAATTAAAGTTTTGTAAATACTTAAAGATCTCTTGAAGGGCGGCTTCCGGTTCGAAATGATAAATCCAAGAAAAGCGTTAGGAAATCGCGGTCGCTAGTGCGAACCAATGCTGAACGTTTTGCAATAACTTACAACAAATTTAAACAAGACGTTTCGACTATTTATTTTTTAGCCATTTTCAGTTGTTCACAAATTAATGAATTAATGCAAAATTAATATAAACATAATTGTTACATAGTCACTAAATATGTTGAGTTGTCAAGAAATTATATAAAATTAAATATGTTAGATAAAATTGTCTTTTGATGTCTTTTGTTGTTTCACTGCAATTATGAGAAAGGTTTTACGTAAGTATTTTTTTTGTCGCAATAAAGAACAGATTACTTTTAGTTTTACTTTGGTTTTTGTTATTGATATAAAATAACTTTGGGATTTGACCGCACTAGATTTTTTTATGCTGCATAAGTCAGAAAAAATAAGAGCGAGAATCATTTGCGCGTCACAACTACTTTGTTAAGTACTTTTGTATCACGTTGGTATATTGTGTAATTTCAGTTTTTTTTATTAATATTAACGAAATTATTGTCAGTTTAGTCGATTTGTTAGCGTGGTAAGTAAGGCAACTATATTTTACGGACACGTAAAATGATTATAAGATTTATAAAAAGTTTAGCGGTTATGTTGCAATATGTAAGTGTAATAAAGAAAGGTAATAAAGAATATAGCAAATTGCAAGCACGTAGCTCTCGTATTTTTTTATATTTAGCTGGCTGTCTTATATATCTCATTTGGGATATACGACAGTTTTAAGATGTATGTTCTGTATTACAGCGCTTGCGTCTGCGCGAACAGTACTAAACTTTTATCCCGCGATTTAATCTCAGCATTTTCCTTAAGCATTTTTTTGTCATTTTTGCTTGTTATTTATCAATTAATAATACATAAGGTTCATGCATAATGTTTTTGTTTTTTTTTTTTTTAATGCGTTTTGCATAAGTAAATATTGGAAGATGTTATTGGAAAAAAAAGTTTTGTAGTTTAAAATTTTTCCTTGAGTTGTATATCCCATCCATACATGACCATGTAACCTACTTTATAAGATATGTAGCAAAATTGCAAGAGTTTTTGTAAGTTTTTTTTAAGTATGAGGTATAAAGATTTTGTACTTGAAATTTTTTTAAAGTAAAAAACAAGTATGACGTTTTTTATTGGTATAGTTTATTTGTCTTCACTATTATAAAACTATTTCGTAAATAATATTTAATGGTAATATAATGTACAATTAAGAATATAATATACAATTAAAAAGTTTTAGATTTTAGTGGCTCATATATCGGATTAAAGTATCATAATGATTTATCATAATGATTATTAGATGAAATTATTTGTTATTATTTATTTGTTGTATATAAAATTAATAGTTTGTGATATAATAATATAATAACATTTAATAAATAAACATTTAATAAATATTATTTGTTATAATTAAAAAAACTAAAAGTTATTTATTATTAATATAAATTATATAATTATTTAAAAGAGAAGAGAAAGCTGTAATGTAACAATGTTTGCTTTTTGCGCCACGTTAACTTTGATTTAAAATATTCTCTTGTACATATATATATATATAATTTATATATTTAAAATATATATATAATATATATATATATATATATATATATATATGTATATATAAATTCTCAATACCAGCCAATATTCCAAGAAATTATATCGCGCTCCGAGCTTCGCCGAGAAACCCGGATAACAATCGCATCTACGGGATAACTTTTGCCGAAAGTAGCTTTCACGGTGATGTCGTTGGTAGTTTCCGCGGGAAAAGAATTTAAGTGGGAAGTCGTGTAACTTATAACCAAGCTAGAGATTGGCTGCGTGAAAGGAACGACGAGTAAACGGGAAAGAGACTCGGAGATGGTTTAACCGCGTAGACACCTGCTCTCATCCCCAAATATAAAAGTACATTTTCCAAAAGGCAACTTCGGTAAGTGAAAGAGATCTGACCTTATGAATTTCAGAAATTGCAAAACACTCTCTGGAAAAAAGCTGCGCGATCATAAATTCAGTTGTATACTTTTTATTTCGTTATTAGCGATTATATAATTCTTATTTTGTTATAAAAAAAAAACATTAAGTTATCTTTGTGCACGTATAGTATTAATTAATCAGTAAATATTGCGTTTCCGTCTAACACATTCTTCACGCCGATTTCGCGATGAGAAACAACGAGAAATGAGCGAAATATATATATACATATATATATATAGTACGCACATATATGTTTACTAGGTATGCAGACCGGGTAATAATGTTGAGATGTGTAAGGCGGAAATTGAAATCTTGTGCGCCGTACTCCGCAGCAAACTGCGAAAATTCGGTTTTCTGATCAAGTAAACCACTTTCGTAAGGTAAATCTCTGATAAAGTCCCGCGTCATTTTTCTTGTGTATGCATAGCACATTTAATATATTCGGACGTTGAGCAAGTCAGTGATTTGTTTATTTTTGTGTTTTTTTTTCGCAAGAATTACGCGTATATTCAATATACAATACAATTTTTATTATTTAATTACAACCGCGATCGAAAGTGAGTTGCAAAAAATAAATTCTCATCAAATCATCAATTATTTGTTAAATTTTCTATACGCATGTCGTTGACATGTTTTATATTATTAATCAAATAGAAGAAAAAGCACGCGCTCTGGGAAGATATAACAATAATTGCTACAGAATTTACATTCAGCAGTTTTGATAATTTTCTACGGAATATGCGGGAAATCGCGAAACGAGCAGATAATGAGCGCTTTCGTCGCTTAATTTTAATCAGTCTAATTAACAGCGCGCGTTATCTACTGCGAAGTTGCCGAAAATTCGAATTAAATGCGCGCGAAAGGTGAATTGTGTTGTTGATATTTTTGTGCTGTTCGCGCTTGCATTTCCCGGGAGAACTGTTTCTCCATGACGAACGATAATTATTTCTTCGAATGGTTTTGTTCAACTTTTTGGGAAAAAAAAAATTATCTCGAATAAGCTCATTTTATTAAACATACAATGTGCGCGCGCACACACACATGCAATTATTGAAAACTGAATTTGCCGAGTTAGTGGAATGAAATTTTAAAATTGAGATACTGATTAAGTAATGTGCATAATTGCGACTCGTCAAGTCCTGTCCAGAAGAAATTCGAGAATCGATATCTCGGAACAGCGCCAGTCAACAAGCTATTCTTATTTCTGTAAAGAGAGAGAGAGAGAGAGAGAGAGCAAGAGAATCGCAGAAATGTCCGAGTCGCGGAATTCAAAAAGATCCCATTTTGAAAAGTGACGGCGCCGAAGAAACGTCGAAAGATGGGATTTCAGGAAAATCGATGAAACATCAAAGCGGACGTTTGCTATTATTCGAACAGAACGGAAGGGAAGAAAGCCATTTCAATCATGAATCTTGCGTTAGAAAATTCTACGAAACTCGGTGCACGTTGGATCTGAAAAAGGATCGAGATTTTGTTTTTTTTTTTTTTTTTAGAAAATGCTTAAAGTAAAATGCCCGCGGCGAACAACATCGCGACGAAGAAAAATCGCGAACCCATGTCTATTAATATTGTCTCATAATATCGATAAAATTCCGAAGTTCCTGCATTTTATTGTTCGCGAACGCAGAGAGAGAGAGAGAGAGAGAAACACGCTATCCGCGAAGAGATACAACAATGACAAGTACATCAAAGTACTCGAATATCGACTATCGACCGCGAGCGTTGCAACGACAACGAATAAAAAAAAAAAAAAAAGGAAAAAAAACGAAAAGTTTTGAAATATCGCGACGATCTGCGATGAAATTTGTAGAAAAGTGGTTGTATCGCGCGACCGCGAAAGCTCGCGAACGTTCCGATGAAGCGTGTAACGTCTGCTTCTGTGTAAAAAAAAAAATTTTACTTTGAAGTTCGAGTCACTCGAATCGCAGGTGTCGATCAACGAAAAATGGAATAAATGTACTGACTTCCGCAAAAATATCGATGTTTTTTTTTCTATTTTTTTTTTTTACAGCAATTACGTTCTATTTTGCAATGTGTCAAAGCAAGTTTATGAGAAACTTGTTGTACGTGGGTATTGCGCGTGATCAAGTGCAAATTTCCGGAAGCAAATTTGCTCGAACGCGGGTATAGCACATGGGGAATGCTTCAAAATAATAAATTTTGTCGGTAGAGTCTTTGATTTTTTTTTTTCATAATCATCGATTGCGCACGGAGAGTCCAGCTCACTTGGCGCAGCGATAATAAAAAAAAAAAAGAAAAAAAAATCGAACAGAGAGAGTTGCGATTCGACGCGCCTTGAAAAGGCGCTTGCGAACGCAGCGTTCGTTCCGACTGACCCATCTGAAAAATTTTCTCCTTGTTAGAAAGGAATACGAATGAAGTCCTTACCATGACAAGCATGTTGGCGGCAGGTGGCTTCACTTGCGTGCGAAAGTAATTGTGAGTGTCGACGATCTTCTGCCGCACCTTACTGCTGGTGGTCCTTATTAGCTTGACGGGGACTCGGTCGCCGTACAATCGTGGCGCTGAAAAACAAAAAAGGAGATATCTCCTTCCAATAACCGACATCTGTCGCCGACGAAATGGGTTCAAATCCCGAAGAACCTTACTCTACTCTCTCGTTTTTCTTGCCAACAAAGGAAGAAGAAACCTTCCCTCTGCGAGTCGGGAGACGGAAAAACGAGAAGCTCTACGAGAAGCGCGCATTTTGCTCTCCGGTAGATTATTTGAATAAAAACATAATAAAGAACGAAGGAGGGGGAGGGGGGGGAGAAAAAAAGAAGAGCGCGCGTAGAGAATTCCGCGTGCAATTAGAATGCAAAAGTTTTCGCACATTGGATTTTCCGCGCATCGAGTTCTATTTTCGTTAATGAGACTCTCGTCTTTTTCTCTCTCGCGATCGAAAAATTGAGAATTTTCGAGATAGTTGGCCGTGTAGAATTCGATAGACAATGTCGCGCGCATCTTCTGGGCAATCACGGGAATCGATTCTTTTGAAATCGGCTTACTCGTTTTTACGCGCGCGGAAACAAGCGGTAGCAGTCTTTTCCAATCACGACGCGCGATGCCACAGTCTTTCCCCGTATATAGTCCCGGGGATCGAAAACGACTTTCCGCTCCTCGCGCTCGCGATGCACCTCGCGAAAGCTGTCCGATTCTTTCCGGGAACTATCATTCGAGAATGCCCGTCCGATGGGATAACGACTGAAAATGGCAGCGTTTCGAACGGAATACCTTTCCGAATAGTTACACGCCACGTTCTACTCGACGACTCGTATAAACGCAACGCGCGTCCCGACTGTTGAAACTAATTGCGAGAATCCACATGAACCGTTATTTCTCAGAGATGTAACATTAATAACGGCAAATAAATGAAATGTTGATTGCATGTATATCAGAGTTGCAATGAATATTAAGCAGCGCTGCTCGATATTCTGTTCATTTATCGGCAACGATTTTTCACTCTTTGACCGAATAAAAATTAGTTCTAAATGTAAAAATAAAAGAAAATCTAAAAAAATAATAGCTAACAAACCGTTGCCGTTTCAACCGCGAATAGTTTTGATATCTAATTTATTTATTTATTTGCATTCTAATGAACTTAAATTAAATAAAACACATTTATTGTTACATAATAAGTACCTATGTATTTTTTTAGTACACACTAATAAATCTTAAATTGCAACAAAAATAAGATTAACAATTAAACTTATATCAATTTAACATATAAGTTTGTTTTTGACAATAAGTACTTAATTATTATATAATCTTCATTCTCTGTTATTAAGGATAAATAATTCTTTATAAGAATAAACAATAATTTTTAAATAAATAATTTTTCTGAAATAGAGTAGGAACGCGCATTTGAAATTCGAACAGTCTACGACTGACCTGTTGTCAAAACCTAATATTTACCAAATATTCGTTTATACTATACTAATATACTTAATTCTTCGTGGACTGACATGGGTCTCCCAGACCCAAAACTTTCAAACCGGTGTCTCTAGTTGAAATTAGTTTTTTTAAACGCTCATAATCTTCGAAACTACTAGAGATTTTTTAAATTTGTTTTTTTCTTTATCGACGCGGAATCGTTCAAATTCTCGATTCAAAAAACCAAAATTGAAAAAATATCGATTTTCTACGAAAATATAACCGCGATTTTAAAGTCGCGCGACTGGATCTCACAGATCCAGTCTGTCTAACTAGTCGTTAGTTTTGAAGTCTGTTCACCGGAAGAGTTAATATGTACTTAAACAAAAACAGAAGAGTGTCTTTTGTGCGCAGTTTAATACGAGAGAAGTAGCATCCTCTTGTTAACAGAAGAGTGCTCATGAAATACAACTAAAAGGTGTTTGTACTCACTGGGTTTGCTTCTGTGGATTCTTCGTGGTACAGCAGCTGGCAGTGCCAGAGCTATTAAGATGGTTATCCAGAGCCACTTCATTGTCGGAAACTGAAAACACACAAAGCGAAATTGTTTCATATGTTTTAAAATTCATACTTCATTGTTGCCGATGAGCATAAACAAACACATATATATACTGAGTGGAGGATCGATATCGAACCGGTCGAAGAAGCTAACATAGTTTAACAGAGTTCAACAAAGTTTAGACCATTTTTTTTATCTTTGTACACGATCGTTTCATCTTTTTCTCCGTTATTATTCACTCGGTCACCGGACTTTTCCTAGCCTGCACACGCGTGTATGTGTGTGTGTGTGTGTGTGTGTGTGTGTGCGCGTGCGCACGCGCATGTTTGCGCAACTACAGCCCGGCGACGCAAACTTTTGTCGTTGTGTGCGCGGCTCATTAATCACCATTCGCCTCGTCAACGGCAAATTTCATTATTTCTCGCCCGCGAAACTGGATGTCCACCCAGGTGCAACGTTATCAGGCTGCTATCAACCCTGACAACGGTACTACTATCATCAATAGTAGCGCGCTCTTCGCAGTGGTAAACGTCAAACGCAAATGGCACGTACGAAGACAGATTACGGTTGAACGTTATTCGCGTTCGCAACAACCACGCCGTGTGCGAACAAACTCTTCGATTCTTCGAAAACGGCTCACCAGGCGACAATAAAATGCATCGAAAGCGTGTCGATAACTGTTACGTTCTTCTCTCTCTCTCTCTCTCACTTTCTCTCTATTTCTCTCTTTCTCTCTCTCTCTCTCTCTGTCTAGTTTAATTATCGATGAATTTTAGAGCTGAATTTCAATATCTACATTAACTGACTGAAATTTTCACAGAAATTACGGAAATGCGCTTGCTTAATCGAGAACAACGTCACATTTTCGTCTCTCTTTTAACGACGAGATCAAAATTCGTCTTTTTCATCTGCTCTATCGCGAATACTTCGAGAGGAGACCGGGATATCAAAAGTATGCAAAAGGATTCGACCAAGCTGAACGACATCAAAGACACATTTTGTTTCCTCAGTTCCGCGTACATTCTTACGTCTGCTACTTTTCATTTTGCCTTTTGAAAGAATATCCTTAGCGTATCGCGAACGCGTATTTCAACTTCTTTCCATTTTATCGCTTTTTCTCTCTTTTTCTCTCTCTGTCTCTGTCTCTTCTTCTCTCTCTCTCTCTCTCTATCTCACTTTCTCTCTGTTTCTCTCTCGTCTTTTGGTTTTCAGAAGCGCATGCAAACTAGCTTAAGACGGATGATACATATGGATGCCTCTTGGCACGCTTCTCAACCTGATTAGATTTTGATCGCTCGACCTTGAAATCAGAGACAAGATCGCGCGAAGCATCCGCTCTTGACAAGTTGAAACACGAGTGTGTATTGAAAACTTTTTTCAAATAAACATTTTCGATTTTTGTCAGTAACTAAGTTTATCGCGCGTGATTTTTATCACGTTTTTTACTGCGTAAAAACGTTAAACAAACAAGTATATTTACTTTAATTTGCAATTGCAAACTTTTGCAACAAATATACTTTTTAAGCAGTGCTTTTACAGCAGTGTAACAAAACTTACGTATAATAAAATTAATTAATTATAAAAATAAATAAAAAAAGATTTTTTTTTTAATTTTTGTGTATAACACATATAAATTGTATAGGAGAACATAAGGTTTAATTTACTTTGTAAATTATCCACGCATAACTCGTATACCTAATTAGACTGATACGAACTTAACGGACATCCGGTACATTGCGTCGCGTGTACGAAAAGTATTGCCGACTCGTGTGTGATTTTTCTCGGGAAAACGCTAATGCTGACCAACCCCGAACATACGCGAATTTTGTTTTGGCGCAGATTGTTTACTGTTTGCTGCATCGACATGCTAAGCACATGGCGCGCAGATGTCCGAAAGTTGCAATAACTGTTCGCAATTTTGGCCGAACGCGTTGGCCAGTTGCGCCTGTGTGTTCGAAGAAAACGATAAAATAACAATAATAAAACAGCCGGGCATTTCTGCGACCCGAGCGATCTCTCCCTGGTTGTTGTCGCAACGATTCGCGATAACCCCCCGATAATTGTTCGTTTCAGTTTTCTATTTTTCATCACCACTTTATTCTTCCCCATTTTTATTCTTCCGTTCGTGACAACGCTGCTTTCGCGCTGCCGTCAGCTTACTGTTTTTTATTCACAAGTCCGTTGTGAATTATCGAGTCTTGCAATATAACGTCGTGAAAACGTTGTAAAAATTTGTTTTGCATTTAATGCGCAAATACATCGAGTTTTACGTTGTATAATATCTCGCGTGTAAACTTTAGCGCTACACGTATATATACGCGCGCGCGCGCAAAGCGTCTTGTGCATTATTCCAAAATCGTTTATCTATTGACTGAACACACGAACCCATCTCTCTTTTCGTCAAAGCGTGCAAGCGACGCTCCACGCTCCAGAGCTTGCCCGAGGGTTAAAAGGGATGTGTGACCAAAGCACTATCACATATTCACCATTTATTGGGCGTTTGATGCATCGTGGCGTAGACAGATATAGTTTGTTCTAATGCGAATAGCGGCGTGCCTTTATAGCGCGCGAACGCCGTTAGTAGTAGAAGTGAAGAACGCGAGGTCAGCCACGTCCGATCAAAACCGCTCGTTACCACTGAAATTGTTTGTACCCGGTGTTCATTTTTTTTGCTGTTAAATCCTCAAACTTTTCTTAACATTGCTTGCATCGTATTTAAAGTGAAGGATTTATTATTGGATTTACAGCCAATTTTTTCACTTCTAGATAACTTTTCGATAACTTTATATCTAGAAGATATCTCCCAAAATTGGTTCTCCTTATTGAGTTCTCAGAAGGATTTATCCAGAAGATAGCTATCGAGAGGTATGAAGAAATCGGCCGTTAGAGAATGTAACATTAATTATGATTAATTCTTCGTGGCCAGATATGGGTCTCCCAGACCCCATACAGAAATTGCGCATTGGCACAATTTCTAGAAAAAATTATTTTTTTTTTTTTTAACGCTTGCATCTTCGAAACTACTAGAAATTTTTTTAATTTGTTTTTCATCGACGCAGAGTGTTTAAACTTTTGACTAAAAAAAAAGAGAAATTGAAAAAATATTGATTTTTTGCGGAGATATTCGATCTTAAAGTCACGTGGGTCTCACAGACCCGGTCCGACTAACTCGTCGTTATTTTTGAGATCTGACCACGAAGCGTTGATTATCATATATCAAATTAGGATGCGCTATAACAAAAAATATATAATATACATTATATTTCTGAAAACAATTTCCACATCCAATGTGTAGAAATTGTTTTTGTGATAAAATCAATTTCTCTTGCGTTCGTGAATGTTATGATTTGCTAAAAGATAAGTTGTGGTAAAGAAAAATTAATAAAAAACCACACACACACACACACACGCACACACACACACACACACGAGTGAACACACGCCGCACACATGTAAATCTATATTGTAACGCGATATTATTGTGAGATTCGTTGCCCCTCGGGTTACATGCACAACAAAGGAAGGAACTTGTCGTTCCTTCCATCAAGATTCAAAAGCGATGGTTCGTCAATAATGTAAAGGAAATTTCCACAGTCTGGGAGTAAGCTCGGGGGCGCACTCGCATTTAATTTGTAACAAAGTTCCGTGGCCGGCGAAGTATGTCGAGATGACGACGTTGCGCGTTGTCGCGTGAAACATGCAGCGCGTAATATTGGCCGCGTGTAAATTGCTCATAAATATTTTCACTTAATTTCGCAAATCAAGCCTGCGCGTGCGCTCGAATAACACACGAGCGTCAAGTCTCTCGTTTATAATTAAAACCGTAATCGCGCGAAGTCGGCTACCGGATGATTTAAACTTGTCGTCGGAACAATACGGTTTCAGATTTAAGACCGTGCAACAATCACGTTATTATTTTCATCAACGACCGTGACAAATTCTCTCTTGTTTTGTTTTTTTTTTTTTTGGCTAAAGAAACGTGTACTCTTTCGCATTATTAACCGCGACCGTGATTTAACACGTGATCGATGATGACGGCCAATTTTATTCAACTATTTGTGCGCCGTGTTCATTTACCTAAATAGATTAAAATACATAGAATCAACCGACGCAAATATAAATACGAGGTCGTATTATTCGGGATATTAATTAATATTAGCTACTACAAATAGCTGCGTTGCATTTTGCAGAGTTTGTAAGCGGCTGACGAATCGGATAATAGAATTAAGAATAATGTGACGTTAATGTTCACAGACAAATGTTGATTGAAACGTTGCATATGGCGAGAACGAGATGCCAATAGAGTGAGTTGTGAAAAGGATGAGAATCATGGGGGGGAAGATAGGGTGGTAAAAAGGGAAGAGAGTGTCGAAGAGTGTCGCGTAAAGAGAAACGGTGCGAGCAGAGATAGCAAAGAACTGCTCTCCAAAGAGAGATCTCAGTGCGAAGAAGAAAGAACGGCCCGGCCGTATCGTGCGGTATGTGTCAGTGCTAAAGTAGATTCTATATACCAGTGCTGTATGATTCTATTTTTATTCGACAAGAAGACTAGAACTATTTTGTTCTACAAATAATCGTGTGCTTTTACACACGTGACAAAATCTGTTAAACCAAGAAATATATAAAGGGCGGCTTGCGAGCCGTTTCCAGGATGTTGTGCGGAAACTGTACGTGTGTATATATATATATATATATATATATGCATACACTTGTAACGAGTTCAACTTGTAAATTTGTACAAGTGAGTATTTTTTGAATTGAAATCTCAATTCTTTTTTCGCAATATTTTAAGATTAGTTAGGGGGGTATCCGAGGTCTCTCATATGTGAGATGCAAATCCAGCATCCCGTATGAATTTAAGAATTGAAATTTCAATTCGAAAAATACTCGTAAAAATTTACAAGTTGAACTCGTTACATGTGTATGTGCATATATATATATATATATATATATATATATGTTATACACGTACAGTTTCCGCTCAACATCCTGGAAACGGTTTGTAGAGCCTTATATATTTCTTG